GGGCAAGACATAGAAAGACACAGGAAAAATCAAAGGAAGATGGAAGGAATACGATCAATGTACCAAAAAGAACTGGTCAAGTTCAGTCATTTCAGTAAGTGGCATATGATAAAGGACAAACAGTACTGAAGGAAGAAGTCCAAACAGCACTGAAAAACCAAAAAACCAAACTCACAGTTATCAAGTTGATTACAAGTCACAGTGATGCTACAGGAAAAAGAATTGCCTTTGGGGTTTGTTTCCAAATCTTCTGATTTAGAAAATTCTATTATGATCTTGCAAAATTCTGTGAAATTCTATAAATTCACACAGAAGAGACTACCTCAGCTTTCTTTCATGGAGTAACTGGTAGACTTGAACTATCAACCTTCTGGTTAGCTGGAAACAATCCACTAGTAAGAGACAAGTTTCAAGGAATTGACAGAATACCAACTGTAATGTTTCAACAGATACAATGCTAGGAACACTCATATGGCAAGAAATTTGCAAGACAACAGAAAGTGATCTTTATAATTCCAAATAAGTAATTCAACATAATGAAGGAATTATAGAACAATATCATTATTAGCACACACTAGTAATTTTTTTTTTTACTATTGTTAATTTATTTGAAAGATAATCAAATACAATACAGGGATGATGCTCACAAAGAGCTGTGTAAACATTATATAAATCTGCGACATTCTACAGAAGAGGTACAGTTATAAACAAGGAAGAGAAACTTAAAAGGTGTCTAAATGACTGCAGTGTTTTAAGCAAGTGTCCAACACTCCCTTGCAGTGACAGTGGCCACAGGAAGAGCTAGTCCTTTTATCAGGGAGGGAAGGAAGCAGCAACTGTGTGGAAGGTGAGCTTCCTGGACCCCATTATGCTCAGTGGTAGACTTTGTTGAACTCCTGGAGAGTCCAGCGTTTGTTCTCAGTTGCCTGTTTGAGTTCGGTGTACTCTTTCACGAGCCTGTCAAATTCCTCCCCGAGGACCTCATAGGTGTTCAACACCTGCCGAGACTTTTCCATGTCTTGCTCTTGTAGGCGAATGGCCCCCTCCAAATGGTCCCTAATGAGACGATGAACTTCTACTTTTTCAGCAGTGTAAGTGTCAGACAAAATCTTTAGCTCCTCCATCCTCAGCTTAAGGACCATGGCACTGCACTTGATCTCCAAGTACTGGGTATTGATTCGGTCTAGCTCCGACTGAGTCTTTAGCCGGTGTTCCTGAAGAAGCCTCTGCAGTAAAGCGAGGCACCGGAGAAGTACCTGGGAGTAGGTAGCACTCTGCTTCTCCAACAGCACCATTCGCTCTGTCTGCTGGCTCTTTGTGTTCTGGCACTGCTGCTTCTCACTCTTCAACACCTCAGCTAGTTCTGCATCAGAACTGGGATCATGGTAGCAGGCAGCAGGGTCAAACACTTCTTCTTGAGCTGCTCCTCCACTTCTAGCTGGAGTCGAGCTCTCATCCACACAAAGTCCTCTGAAGGCGGCATGAGCTCCAGCAGGTCTGCTTTCTCCAGTCTAAGTAATGAAGGCATCTCCTTTTCCTGGTTGGGACCTACGACCCATGTCAGTTTAGTCACTAGCAGCCACTGCTCAAGGGTCTCATGAAACTTCTTGTCTTCGGAGGTTATATTTGTGTCTTGTGCCTTCACACAGTAGTCCACAAGTAGCTCTTGGATGACCCTTTGCAGAATCTCTGACCTCAACCATGATGTCTTATGCAGCCGAATATCTTTCCATGCCTGAGCCTGCTCCTTTGCCACGGCATGGCTTAAACCACTTTCATCCATATGCTGTGAAAGACTCAGTAGTAGCTTGCCAAAGTATGGGTTCTGTAACAGGTCCTCTTCACTCAAGTTACAAGGAGGCAGCTGTTTGCTGCATACTTGAAGTATTTTCTTTCATCTCTTCTCCAGGTAAGGAGAAATCACCAGAAGCCATCTAATTTTCTTGAGATTTTTAACTGTGGAACTGTGCCCCAGGCGGCGGTCGAGGCGGGACAGGGCCGGCCGGCTGTGCCATCTACACCCCGGACCCCGCCCGCGCCTGGGTCCCGGAAACTCGCACTCAGGCCCCGTGCAGGGTGCAGGGGCAGCAGAAGGGGGAGCGCGCAAGTGTCCTGGGAAGGAAAGGGCTCGAATGAGGGCGGAAGAAGGCGCGACGGCGGGCGGAGGGGGCGGAGCCGCCCGACCACACTAGTAATATTTTGCTGAAGATAAATAAAGTTGTAGCAAATCAGGTCCCAAGATGGCAGCACCATGAAGAAGGTGGCAGCAGAAGATGAAAACCAACAAAAGCTAAACAAATTTGAACAGAATACGAGTAGAATCTCAGAACTAAATCAAGAGATAGATGTAAAAGAGTAACAGCTGCAGAATTTAGAAGATGCTTGTGATGACATCATGGAAGATGCCTAATGATGATACCAAGAGGAGACACAAATGTTACAAGAAGCTAAGAAAAATTTGAAAGAAGAAATCAGTGCCTTAGAATCCAGAGTGGAATCCATTCAGCAGTTGTTAGCAGATTTGAAAGCTCAGTCATACGGAAAATTCGGGAGCAACATAAACTTGGAAGTGGATGAAAGATGTTTTATAGTGCTTTTGTAAAATTTGTTTAATAAATTTGAATATTGTTTTAAAAAATAATTGGAAATAAAACTGAGTTAAAAATAATAATTGCAGCAATACATCCACAGGGCTGGAAAGTCAAGCTGGAATCACAAGATGATATATTGTTAATGTAATGTGCTGTTGAGTTGCCTGCAACTCATCACGACCCTATATACAATAGCCCTAACCCTGCTCTATCCTGTGCCAGTGGCATTGCTTCTGACATACCCATCCCGATTACCCCAGTCACTGAATCAATCTATCTCACTGAGGGTTTTCCTCTCCTGCACTGTCCCTCCACCCTCCCAAGCGTGATGTCCCTCTCCAAGGACTGGTCCCTCCTTGCAACATGTCCAGAGTATGTCAGACAAAGCTTCAGAATCCTTGCCTCTAAGGAACAGCCTAGCTTCACCCTCTCCAGGACAAACCTGTTCATTCTCTTAGCAGTTCACGGTATATTCAACACTCTTCTCCAACACCATACCTCAAAGGCATCAATTCTTCTATCATCCCTAGTCCATTGTCCAGCTCTCTGATGTATAGCCTGTCTCAGGTGCACCTTAGTCTCCAGACTGACACCATTGCTCTTGAGCACTTTAGCAACGTCCATAACAGCAGACTTTCCCATGGCAATGCACCTTTTAATTTCCTGGCTGCTGGTGCCAAGAGTGTTGACTGTGAAGCCAAGCAGACTAAAGCTGTGAACAATCTCAATCTCTTCACCATCCCTCATGATGCTGCGAATTGGCCCAGTGGTGAGAATCTTTGTTTTCTTGATTCAATCCATACTGAAGGCTGCAGTCCCTGACCTTCTGCAGCAAGCGTTCAGGTCCTCCTTAGTTTCAGCGAGCAGGGTTGTGTTATCTGCATAACACAGATTGTTTATGAGTCTTCCTCCAATCCTGATGCCACATTTCTCCTCATAGAGCCCAGCCTCCCAGACAATCTGTTCTGCATAAAGATTGAAAACGTATGGAGATAGGATACATCCCTGGTTTACACACTTCCTAATTTTGAACCATGTAGTGTTTCTTTGCTTTGTTCTGACAACTGCCTCCTGGTTCAAATATAGGTTTAGCATTTAGCATGATCAAGTGTTCTGGCATTCTCATTCTTAGAACAAGAAATATTATTGCTGATCTCAGATGGATCTTGCCTGAAATCAGCGAATACCAGAAAGATGTTGGCCTGTTGTGTTACTGACTGTGCAAAGACTCTCAGTTTTTTGGATCAAAACAAATTATGAATAATGCTACAAAGAATTAGAATTCCTTAACATTCAAGTGTGCTCACACAGAACCAGTAAATAAACCAAAAGGCAGGCATGGTGTACTCTAGAGTTGTGTCTTTTCACCATACCTATTCAACCTGTATGCTGAGCAAATAATCCAAGAAGCAGGAGTATAAGAGGGAATGGCATAGGCCTAGGAGGAGGACTAATAAACAAGCTGTAGTATGCAGATGACCCAACCTTGCTTTTGGAAATTAAAGAGCACTTGAAGCATTAGTGATAATGATCTAAGACAGTCTTCAGTATGGATTACACCTTAATATAAAGAAAGCAAAAAAACCTAAATTAATAAGCAATATTATGATAAACCATACAAAGACCCAAGTTGTTAAGGATTTCATCTGACTTGGACTCCCAATCAATTCTTATGGAAGCAGAAGTAAAAAAAAAATAAGTGACATACCGTAGTGGGTAAATCTGCTACACAAGACCTCTTAAAAAGTGTTCAAAAGTGAAGATGTCATTTTAGGACTAAGGTGTTTATGATTAAATTCTGGCCACCTGACATGCATGTAAAAGCTGGATCATGAATAAGGAAGACCAAAGAGTAAGTGATCACTTTGAATTATGGTGTTAGTGAAGAATAATAGATACACCACAGACTGGAAAGAACAAACAAATCTGTCTTGAAAGAAATGTAGCCAGAATGCTCCTTGGAAGCGAGGATGGTGAGGTTCCAGGTCACATACTTCGGACACGTTACATGATAGAAAAGTTCCTAGAGAATGACATCGTACTTGGTAAAGTGAAGGTCAGAGAAAAAGAGAAAGACCCTCAATGGATTGACAGTGGCTACAACAATGGGATAGAAATAGTTATGAAAATAGCAACGATTCTGACGGAGGCCCCGGACCAGGTACTGTTCTACTCTATTATACATGTTACTATGAATTGGAACCAACATGATTCCAACAATACGAGCTGGAATCAACTCTACCCTTTATCAGAATCTAACTATTCAGTATTCTTGGTGAGGATGGTGGCCCCACTATGGCCAGTGGAGGAAGCGTCAAATGTGTGAGCCACAAGTTTAGGGAGAATAAAAACTGGGTGGGCAGAGAGGATCTGAGACCTAGCTGCTTGTCTATCACCCTGAAGACTTACGGTGCCTGGAAGAGGTAGAGGCGCCAGTCAGCAGTCCGCAGCTGGAAGACATGCGGCTTCTTGGTGTAATGGGTGGCCGGGGTTGCCAGTGAATGGTGAACCCCCACAGGCTCGTCCACCATCTGCCCCACCAAACTCTCCCCCTCAGGACAGTTGTCTCCCTGCAGTAGAGCACAGGGGCTCAGAGAGCTCAGAAGAGGTTAGCAGATGCCCACCCCTGCAATAGCCAGCCTTTCCATGTTGCCCCCTTGGCCCCATTAGGAGTATCCACTCCCTCCTTACCTTTAGGAAGTACAGTACCATTCCTCGCAGTAAGGTATGGAACATCTTCCAGCCTCGCTTGCCCCAAGGTGCTGTTCAGGAAGCAGAAGACAACATTGGGTGGCCACACCCCCATTTAAGCATGTTGTTGTTGTTGTTATTTGCCGTCGAGTCGTTTGCGACTCATAGCAACCCTATGCACAACAGCCCTAAACCCTGCTCTATCCTGGCAACCGCACTGCCTCTGACACACCCATCCCGATTACCCCAGTCACCGAATCAATCCATCTCATAGAGGGTCTTCCCCTCCTGCACTGTCCCTCCACCCTCCCAAGCATGATGTCCCTCTCCAAGGAACCGTCCCTCCTTGCAACGTGTCCAAAGTATGTCAGACGAAGCTCCAGAATCCTTGCCTCCAAGGAGTAGCTTGGTTTAATCCTCTCCAAGATGAATCTGTTTGTTTTCCTGGCAGTCCATGGTACATTCAGTACTCTTCTCCAGCACCACAGCTCAAAAGCATCTACTCTCCTTCTGTCCTCCCCAGTCATTGTCCAACTCTCTGATGCATAACAAGCGATTGCAAAGACCATGGCCTGTATCAGGTGCACCTTAGTCTCCAGAGAGACACCGTTGCTCTTGAGTACTTCAGAGAGGTCCCTAACAGCAGACGTTCCCATCGCGATATGCTTTTTGATTTCCTGACTGCTGGTGTAAAGAGTGTTGACTGTGGAGCCGAGCAAACTGAAGCTGTGAACAATCTCAATCTCTTTGCCATCCATCCTGATGCTGCCAATTGGTCCAGTGGTGAGAATCTTTGTCTTCTTGACATTGAGCCTCAGTCCATACTGAAGGCTGCAGTCCTTGACCCTTCGCAGCAAGTGCATGAGGTCCTCCTCAGTTTCAGCAAGCAGGGTTGTGTCATCTGCATAACGCAGATTGTTAATAGATCTTCCACCAATCCTGATGCCACAGTTCTCCTCATAGAGCCCAGCCTCTCAGATAATCTGCTCTGCATACATGTTGAAAAGGTATGAAGACAGGATGCATCCCTGGTGTACACCCTTCCCAATTTTGAAGCATGCAGTGTTACCCTGCTCTGTTCTGACTACTGCCTCTTGGTCCAAGTATAGGTTTCGCATTAGCACAATCATAGCTACCTTCATTTCAACCTACACATCTTCAAATACAGTCCCTGAGTCCCCACCCCTCCTATACACAAGTAAGAATGCCAACACAAGTTCATATAAACACACACACACACACACACACACACACACACACACACACATACACACACACACACCCTTCCATAATCAAGGTCAGGAACAGAAGTAGAAAAGTCTTTGTGTAGAAATGTGGATATTCAGATGGACCAGTTCCTCTCTAAACACAACACAACACAAGCACAGTGTAAACCAAACATCTTTCAACTCCTTTGTAGACACATCCAAAAGTGAATTCCTGAAGGAAAATGACCCTCTCTGGATATCTTACTCTCAGCACCATCTGAAAAGGCTTCACCTTTTCCTGGCACCTGCCACCTCTCCCCTACACTGGACCCTGACCTTGTTGAGGGGAAGCATTCCTACTCTATTGACAGAGGCCTGATTCTCAGGAGCCACATCACTTGTCTAACCTTACTGTAGCTTTTTGCAGATTTCTAACTCCCTTTCCTGGTTCCACATCTCCATTCTATTTTATCCATTATTTCAGATTAAGCTGCCATGCTTCAAATCCTTCAATTACCTGTGAAATGAGGACCAATATCAGAACCTAAAAATGATCTCCAAATGTACTTGCCCACCAGGGTCTTTGACACTCACCATGCTCTTAGCAAACTTTGCACTTTTCTCTGTGTGAGAACCCTCTGATCACCTTCAATTGGCCACACTCTTGTATCCTCCCAGGATCAGTTCCCATCATTTCTCAGAAGACTTCCCCATCCACGCTTCTTTAAAACCAAAATTCTTCCCTCATGTTGGTTCTACCCCTCATATGCTGCTCACCTCTTTCTACCTTTCAATGCAGACACTGATGCACGTCTCTAATGTCTGTTGTACAATGGCCTTTCTGAGGACAGAGATACCTGGATCTATTTTATCTCTGCTGTCTTCCCTCCCTCCTCCCGGTGCAGCACCTGACCCACATCCAGAATACTGAGAAGCCAGTGCATACTGCCAGCACTTGGCATGTACCATCTCTCCCTCTGCACCCTCTATGCACACGGTCCTGTGTGTCTCTGAGCAGAGTCCCTGCTATCCATTTACAGAGATACACACACAATGGCCACAGGGCAGCAAACACTCACTCTTCTTGCCATCTGCATCATGATGCATCTTCCGGGCCAGGATGCCTTGCTTGTAGGTGGGCACTGTAGGGTCTTGGGTCAGCTGTAAGAAGGGGCTGCTCATCTTGCCAGCTGGGGGTGAGGGCCTGGCCTTCTCAGATCTGGATGCATCATCATTATCCCTGGACATGAAACAATCAAGCTTGGAGGATAAACTGAGCAGTGACAGTCAGGAGTCACCCTTTGTCTCTCAGGGACTAAGCACCCCCATTGTTTAGCAGAGATCCGTATTCCCAGGTCTTTTACTCCTAAAAGAAATAAGATCTCCAGTCCAGCACATTATTCCCATGATGACCCCAACCGGACCTGTCCCCTGACTACCTCTAGCTCCTCAAGGTGTTACTGGGTTCTAGCATCCTTCTCTGAATTTGGGCAGTGCATTAGCCCACCCCCAACCTACTCAACTGGGAGCACTGTTCCCAGAGCCCACAACTTCTTTATCTTCCATGCAGGCAGGTGAAAGCAGATGGGCTAGGGGGTAGATCTCACTTTGGGGGGGTGGGTAAAGGGACCAGGAGGGAAGGGTAAAACTGTCACTTACACAGTCCACTCAAGCTTCTCACTCCGGATAGACCAGTAGAGGGCCTGTAACAGAAGCACATAGGTGGACAGATTAGCCTCTGGGCCTGTGGGGCCTCTCAGGCTGGCAGATATAGAAGGGGGCAGCCATCTAAGGTGCAACTATTGGGCTCTCTCTCTCTAGCACAAAGAAGAAGTAAGAGAAGCAAAGAGGGGCCAAAGCAACCATCCAAAGGACTGACAGACCACTTGTGCCTCAACTTCTATGACCTTGAGGGGCCAGAAGAACTAGACAGTGCCTGACTACTACCACTGCTAACTGCTCCCCAAGGGACCACAATAGAACATCATGAAAGATGCAGAACAAAACTGAAAACCATAAAAATATGCTAGACTCTCTGGTCTGAGAGAAACTGTCCAACCTCCAAAGACTATTGCTCTTAGCTATGCTAAGAATCTGGAAGAAAACTGACTCCCATGGCTCAACTTGCAGCCAAACAATAGACAGACTTAGATGGTGGCCAATAACACCAGGGAGATGCTTTTCTGAAAAACCAGCCATATGAAGACAAAAGAGTAGAGTTTGCCCAAGGATAGTTCTGGAAGCAGAAAAGAGTAATGTTGTTGTCTTTTTTTTTTTTAATTTTCTACTAGTTTATTTACAAAATTTAAATACTTAGTTTTCAAGAACAAATTCTTGCAATTTAATGTTGCTTTTATGTGCTATCAAGTTGCTTGCAACTTATAGCGACCCTATGTACAACAGCTCTGAACCCTGCCCTATCCTGAGCCAACTTTATCATCTCTGACACACTTACCCTATTACCCCAGTCACTGAGTCAATCCACCTCTTCGAGGGTCTTCCTCTCCTGCACTGTCCCTCCACCCTCCCAAGCATGACTTCCCTCTCCAAGGACTGGTCCCTCCTTGCAGCATGCCCAAAGTATGTCAGATGAAGCTTCAGAATCCTTGCCTCCAAAGAGCAGCCTAGCTTCACCCTTTCTAGGATGAACCTGTTTGTTCTCTTAGTAGACTACGGTATATTCAATACTCTTCTCCAGCACCACAACTCAAAGGCATCAATTCTCCATTATCCCTAGTCATTGTTCAGCTTTCTGATGCACAGCAAATGATTAAGAGCATGGCCTGAATCAGACTGAATTAGTCTCCAGACTGACTTCATTGCTCTTCAGTAATGTAAAGGAGAGGTCCCTGATAGCAGATTTTCCCAATGCAATTCGTCTCTTGATTTCCTGGCTGCTGGTGCCAAGAGTGTTGATTGTGGAGCCAAGCAAACTGAAGTTGTTAACAATCTCTCCACCATCTATCTTTTATGCTGTCAGTTGGCTCAGTGGTGAGAATCTTTGGTTGGTTTGGGGTTTTTTTTTTAAGGTTGAGCTTCCATCTATATTGAAGGCCAATGTCCTTAACCTTCCGCAGCAAGTGCTTCAAGTCCTCCTCAGTTTCAGCAAGCTAGGTAGTGCCATCTGCATAACGCAGGTTATTGATGAGTCTACCTCCAATCCTGATGCCACATTTTTCCTCATGGAGCTCTGCCTCCTGGATAATCTGTTCTGCGTACAAACTGAAAGGATATGGAGATAGGACACATCCCTGCTGTACACCTTTCCTGATTTTGAACCATGCAGCGTTTCCTTGCTGTGTTTTGATGACAGACTCCTGGTTCAAATATGGGTTTCACATAAGCACAATCAAGTGTTCTGGGGATTTCCATTCTTTCCAGAATTAGCCACAATTTGTTGAGATTTACACAGTCATATGCCTTTGCATAGTCAATGAAACACAGATAGGAAGGAGTAATGTTGTTGTTGTTATGTGCCGTCGAGTCGCTTGCGACTCATAGCGACGCTATGTACAACAGCCCTAAACCCTGCTCTATGCTGTGCCAATCTCACTGCCTCTGACACATCCATCCCGATTACCCCAGTCACTGAATCAATCCACCTCATAGAGGGTCTTCCCCTCCTGCGCTGTCCCTCCACTCTGCCCAGCATGATGTCCTTCCCCAAAGACCTGTCTCTCCTTACAACATGTCTAAAGTATGTCAGGCGGAGCTCCAGAATCCTTGCCTCCAAGGAGCAGCCTGGTTTAACCCTCCCTAGGATGAATCTATTTGTTTTCTTGGCAGTTCATGGTACATTCAGTACTCTTCTCCAGCACCACAGCTCAAAGGCGTCAATTCTCCTTTTATCCTCCCTAGTCATTGTCCAGCTCTCTGATGCATAGCAAGTGATTGCAAAAACCATGGCCTGTATCAGGCGCACCTTAGTCTCCAGAGAGACACCGTTGCTCTTGAGTACTTTAGAGAGGTCCCTAACAGCAGACTTTCCCATTGCAATGCACCTTTTAATTTCCTGGCTGCTGGTGCCAAGAGTGTTGATTGTGGAGCCAAGCAGACTAAAGCTGTAAACAATCTCAATCTCTTCACCATCCATCCTGATGCTGCTAATTGGTACAGTGGTGAGACTCATTGTCTTCTTGGCATTGAGCCTCAATCCATATTGAAGGCTGCAGTCCTTGACCCTCGCAGCAAGCACTTCAGGTCCTCCTCAGTTTCAGCAAGCAGGGTTGTGTCATCTGCATAATGCAGATTGTTGATAGATCTTCCACCAATCCTGATGCCGCATTTCTCCTCATAGAGCCGACTCCTGGATGATCTGTTCTGCATACAGATTGAAAAGGTATGGAGACAGGACACATCCCTGGCGTACGCCCTTCGCAATTTTGAACCATGCAGTGTTTCCCTGCTCTGTTCTGACGACTGCCTCTTGGTCCAAGTATAAGTTTCGCATTAGTACGATCAAGTGTTCTGGGATTCCCATTCTTCTCAGAGTCAGCCACAGTTTGTTATGATCCACACAGTCAAACGCCTTTGCATAACCAATGAAGCACAGATAGACATTCCTTTGGTACTCCCTGCTTTCAGCCAATATCCACCTGATATTAGCTACAATACTACAATACACGACCCCTTCGAAACCCAGCCTGGACTTCTGGCAGTTCTCTGCTGATATGCTGTTCCAGTCGTTTTTAGATAATCTTCAGCAGAATCTTGCTTGCATGTGAAATAAATGATATTGTTCTATAGTTTCCACACTCTGTTGGGTCACTCTTCTTTGGAATGGGAACAAATATAGATCTCTTCCAGTCAGCTGACTAAGTGGTTGTTCTCCAGATTTCTTGACACAACTTGGTAAGCACGCCCAGGGCAGCATCTGTTAGCTGAAATATGTCAGTTGGTATACCATCTATTCCTGGGGCCTTATTTTTTGCTATATGCAAGTTCAAGCTGAAGCTGAGGAAAATTAAACTAAATCCACTGGAACCTAAATATAACTTTGAGTCTATCCCACCTGAATTTCATAACCATCTCAAGAACAGGTTTGAGGCCTTGAACACGAATGAGCGAAGACCAGATGAGTTGTGGGAGGATGTCAAAGGTATCATCCAAGAAGAGTGCAAACGTTCTTTACAAAGACAGAAGAGGAAGAAAAGACCAAAACGGCAGTCAGAAGAAACTCTGAATATTGCACTGGAGCGCAGAGAAGCCAAAGCACAAGGAAGAATTCAAGATACTAAAGAGCAGTACAGAAGATTTCAAAAGGCAGCGCGGGATGACAAGATAAAATATTACAATGAAATGTGCAAGGACTTGGAGTCAGAAAACCAAAAGGGTCGAACTCGCTCAGCATTTCTTAAGCTCAAGGAACAAATTCAAACCTTGAGTTGCTATAACCAGGGATGCTTTTGGCAGAGTACTAAATGATCCAGGAGGTATCAAAAGAAGATGGAAAGAATATACTGAGTCATTGTATCAAAAGGAATTGGCAGACACAGAAGAATTTAATGAAATAACATATGAGCAAGAGCCTATGGTGATGAAGGAAGAAGTTCAAGCTGCTTTGAAAGAAATAGCAAAAAATAAGTCCCCAGGAATAGATGGTATACCAATTGACATACCAATTCAGCATGAATATGCCTTGCTAACAAACTCATGGCTGAGGCTATAGGCATGTACCACGCTCATAGGAGGCCCTCAGTAAGGCCAGTATGTCCCATTGGTTGGCTGTCGCCCATCTGTCAGTGGAGGCCTGAATGTGAGTATGATATCAAGAAGATTTCAGTGGAGCTTCTTTACTAAGACTAGAAAGGTCTAGATATCCACTTCGGAAGCAGCAGGTAGATTTGAGCTACCAGAGTCAAGCATCCTTTTGCTGCTCGACACACTACAGATTACACCAACAGTGAAGACCGTGTAGGTGTCAAGAGGGTAATACTCAGCCAGTTATGGGTACAACACGGTGCTAGTCCTGTAGCAGCTAACAACAACAACAACGACATTCTTTTAAGGATGTTTCGGTAGAGCCAGGACAGAGCTCAGCATTCCACTTGGAACAAGGAACTAAAACTCCAGACCCCTAGCAAGGAGACCAGGACCTGGGCCCACCATACCTTCAGCAGCTCCTTGGAGAAGTTCTCACCATCCTGCAGACCGTTAAGGTTGGTGATGAATTCTTGGCAGCTCATGCTTTTCCCAATATTCTGAGGCCACAGAGAGAAGAAACAGCTGTCACCCATCCCGCCCCAACCTTATATGCACTCCCAGGCTCTCAAAAGCCTTCACCCAGACCCAAGCTCTCATCTGCAGGGCCCTTCGCTGGTCCTCTCCTAGACTCTGACCTTCCCTTCCCCCTTCCCTCCTCTCAACACCTTATACTGCTACCCTTGAAAATCCCCAAGCCCCCACTGCAGCTCCCTGCCTCATTTTCCACAGCTGTCCCCACCTCTTACCTGTCCATGAAGGTCCGTGTTAAGGAGCATGATGGCACAAGTCAAGGTGTGCACGGAATCTGCCCCAGAGGGAGGCCAGAGGAGAGAAAGCTCATTTGAAAACAAGACTCCTACTCTTCTGTCAGCACTAGGCTTCAAGGCCCTAGAAGTGTCCCCATCTCCCCCACCCCCAGCACACTTGCCCCAAAAGCTGGCCCCTCCCTACCTACTGAGGGGAAGACTGCAGGATTGCAGTGGTGGAAGCGCTTTGAGAACTGGTAGAGAATTCGCTCCCGCTCCTGTGTCTCTCCGCTGAGCACCAGGGCCTGGAGGAAGTTTCTGAGAAAGAAGCCAGAGTTTGTGCCCAGACTGAGAGGGCCCATGGACCCCAGGATCAAGGGTCCCGCTAGGGCCCACTGTGAACCCTGGTGCCACTGCTCTGTGGCCATTCTTCCCCCTTTCTTCCCAGAAGGACTCAAAGACATTACCGGAGGGCACGGTCCAGGCTCTGGCCTTCAAACTGGAAGAAAGACAAGTACTCCTCAGCCACAGCCTTGCTGAAGTCATTGCTGCGGAGAAGAAGGGGATGAAGCCTGAAGCTAGGGAACTGACCTCCTCCCTGGCAAAGGGGTGCCCAGGGTTGCACACAGCATAAGGTGGCCAGGAGCAAATAGGCAACGAGACAGCACAGGCAGCCTGGGCCTTGGGTCCCCAGGGGCTGCACGCAGCATGAGGTGGACAGGAATGAATGAGGCAAGAAGACAACATAGGTATGCTGGGCCTGGGGTCCCAAGAAGGCAAGGGGGCCGCCTGGCTTTGATGTGCAGCTGACACCTCCATCTACTGTTGAATGAGGCAGGGGTGGGGGGCATGTGGAATCAGAGATGGATGAGGTAGCAGGGTCCAGTGGACATTATCAGAGTGTGGAGAAGCAGAGGGAATATGACAGAGAAGCACCAAGGATGGGGAGGGATAGAGGGAAGGAATGAAGATGGGGAGACTAGGCAAGAATAATGGACAGGTCAGTGATGGGGCTGGAGAGAAGAGAGATAGAGACAGGGAAGGCCAGCTGGTGGAGGGAACCTCCTTCCCATCCTGCCTCCACCCCCAGCCTCACCCAGGCAAAGCCCCTTACTTCTTCTGGAGGTAGGCAGCCACTTCAGACTTCCGGAAACCCTCCAGGTGATAAAGTCGTGAGGCCAAGCTCCAGGCCACCTTGTCAGTCCCGATGCCATTAGCCAGCTTGTCTCCAGCCTGTGGTCTCTTGTCTTCCTCTGGGGATTGTGCCTGAGGCATGGGACTCTTGAGAAGCCTGGAAGAATCCATTGATTTCCTCAGACTCTTGAAGCCCCCAGGGCCACTTGGGACAGATAGTAAGGGGTTATGGGTCCAAATGTCCTTGTAGGTCAGTCATGATGGGCAACCAAGAGTTTACCCTCAGAGTTGAGGGTCATAGCTTGAACTCCAGGAGACCCTAGAGCCAGACATCACCCAGGAAAATGCAGGATCACAGTCCGTGTGAGCTGATCATATGTGAGCTGACTGAGCCATGGCTTGGAACCAGCAGAACCCAGAGGAAGAAACTGCCTGGAGGCCAGTGAGGGCTGGATCCAAGCCTGGTACAAAACCACTGGGGTGTTCCAAGTTTATTTTGCTTTAGGTAGGAGATACATCAGCCCTTTGGAGACCTAACAGGTATTAAATCTGACCCCAAGCAGAGTGGGATCATCCCCCACATCTCAGCAGGCTGTCTGCCATCCTCTCCCTTCCCCTCATCATCCATCCTCGAGAAGCCTCCTTGCCCCTTCCCCACCTCCTACTTTAGCTCCAGTTTATTCTCCAAGATCTCAGGCTAAGGATGGTGTAAAGATGTGTCAAGAACAAGATACAAAGACTGGCGTGAGGAATGGTTACAGTGGGGGACCCCTGAGGGGGCTTTCAACCCCTCACATGCCTTTCTAGAAGTTCTGTGGTAAAATAATTCCCCTGCCACAGGGGATTGGATGGTGACCAATTATGACAGGAAACAGGCTCATGGAAAGCCCGGATGGGAGAACACTCAGGGTCTGATACTCCTCAGAATCTCAGAAGTCACTAAACACAAACTCTGCCTGACTCTTGATTCCTCTGCAGGATTATAACTAGGCCTGGCTGAGTCAAATTACCAAATAAGCATGGAATTACTAAATATTCCACAGTTTTCTTCACCACATCAAAAATTCTGCTTCTAGGGGAGCTCTGGTGGTCTAGTGGCAAGAAACTGCACTGTAATCCCAGAGGTGTGCGGTTCGAAACCACCAGATGCTCTGCCGGAGAAGCAGAGACAATCTCCTCCTGCACCCGTCAGATTAGATTTGATGGTACACACATGAATAAAATAAAATTTAAGAAAATTCTGCTTTTATTTATGGCTGGCATCAGTCTCTCTCCCAAACCCACAGTGCGTTCCTACAGCCTCTTTTTAAATTTAGGGTCCCTGACAGGGATGGAATATCTGGGAAGCAAGGTAAGCACCCATTTACTTACTAATCTGCAACAAATAATTTTCATGTGAAATTGTTTAGTATACAGATTAAAATAAGTCCACATGAAACTCTTCACTACAGATTACTAAGCAATCGCACGTAAACCTATGTGAAATTGTTCACTATAGATTGTTGTCGTGCTTCATACAGTCAGAACTGATTCATAGCTGACCCTCTAGCAGGTTTTCAAAGGCAATAAAATGCACAGGAGGAGTTTGCTCATCCTTCTCCTGTGGTGCAGCTGGTGGATTTGAACTGCATGCTTTTCTGATTGCAGTGCAAATTCTTACCACTAGACCACCAAAGTGAGTAAATATAAATGAATCCATGTGAAATTGTTCAGTACAGATTAGCAAGAAGCAGAAATAATCTTGTGTTTCCTTTGCTTACTGAGTAATCCATCCCTGAGGTCTGAGTATCCTAGTTCCTTGAATATTCATTATCTGTGTGATCAAAGAGGAAGTGGAAAGGCAAGCAGATGTTATCAAAACACGAAAATGTTGTTAGGTGTCATTGTGTTAACGACAACTGTTGACAACAACACTATGAACAAAGCTTGTCTGAGCAAATCCCATGGTCGCTGAAATGCTTGAGCCCACTGTTAGAGTCGCTATGTCAGGCTACCTCCTCCCTCTCTTTCTCTGACCTTTCCCAGAAAGATGTCTTATTCCAAGGACTGGCATCTCCTGGCAATATGCTCAAAGTCTGTGGGATGAAGCTTCCCCATCCTTGTCACTAACGAGCACCCTGCGTGCACTTCCTCCAAGAGAGATTTCACTACAGTCCCTCCATTTATCACGAATGTCTAGTTCTGCCTACTAGCCAGGCCCACAGGGGGCTCTGGTGGCCTAGTGGTAAGGAGCTGGACTGCCAGGTGGAATACAAGTGGTTCGAATCCACCAATTGCTCTGTGGGAGAAAGACGGGAAATCCTCTCCTGTATGATTTACTGCCTCTGAAAAACCATTGGAGGGTCAGCTATGTATTGGTTCCAACTCTACAGCACACAACAACTAGGCCCTATTTTTCTAGACTCAACACCACCCACCAGTGCAAGGTAACAAACAAAATGGAATGTGAAAATACACATCTTGCAAAATAAGACACAGAATTTCATGAAGTGCATGACCTGGTAGCACAATGGTTAAGTTCTCAGCTGCTAACCAGAAGGTAAAAAACTCAAACCCATCCAGTGGTTCCTTGGGATAAAGATAAAGGCAATCAGACCCTGTAAATATTATTATGTTGTTGTTGTTGTTATGTGCCGTCGAGCCGTTTTCGACTCATAGCGACCCTATGCACAACAGCCCTAAACCCTGCTCTATCCTGCGCCAACCGCACTGCCTCTGACACACCGCCTCTGACACACCCATCCCGATTACCCCAGTCACCGAATCAATCCATCTCATAGAGGGTCTTCCCCTCCTGCGCTGTCCCTCCACCCTCCCAAGCATGATGTCCCTCTCCAAGGACCCGTCCCTCCTGGCAACATGTCCAAAGTATGTCAGACGAAGCCCCAGAATCCTTGCCTCCAAGGAGTAGCTTGGTTTAATCCTCTCCAAGATGAATCTGTTTGTTTTCCTGGCAGTCCATGGTACATTCAGTACTCTTCTCCAGCACCACAGCTCAAAAGCATCCACTCTCCTTCTGTCCTCCCTAGTCATTGTCCAACTCTCTGATGCATAACAAGCGATTGCAAAGACCATGGCCTGTATCAGGCGCACCTTAGTCTCCAGAGAGACACCGTTGCTCCTGAGTACTTTAGAGAGGTCCCTAACAGCAGACTTTCCCATTGCGATATGCTTTTTGATTTCCTGACTGCTGGTGCCAAGAGTGTTGACTGTGGAGCCGAGCAAACCGAAGCTGTGAACGATCTCAATCTCTTCGTCATCCATCCTGACGCTGCCAATTGGTCCAGTGGTGAGAATCTTTGTCTTCTTGACATTGAGCCTCAGTCCATACTGAAAGTTGCAGTCCTTGACCCTTTGCAGCAAGTGCATGAGGTCCTCCTCAGTTTCAGCAAGCAGGGTTGTGTCATCTGCATAACGCAGATTGTTAATAGATCTTCCACCAATCCTGATGCCACAATTCTCCTCATAGAGCCCAGCCTCTCGGATAATCTGCTCTGCATACATGTTAAAATAGCCTAGAAAAAAAAAACCTCTATGGGGCACCTATACTCTGAGCTCAACAGCACCAAAAGCAACTCCTGATTAAACTGTTTTCATTATTTATTAGCAGAGTTTGGTCCCCATGTCAGATGGATTTTCTAACTGTTGTTGTAAACGAATTAACTTTTATTTTTGTTTCCAGTGCTGGCTGGCCTGGAAGCTCTTGTACAGTAGCTCCACTCCAGAAGTTGGTTTCTCGCGTCTTGCTGGGGGTCATGTAAGAAAAATTTTGGGTTGTGTTTGATTTGTGATAATTGTTTTTACCCCCTCCACAAGCGGATGTCAGCTGGACTTTCACTCCTTTTGGCCAACAAAGGCTCAAGGGTGGAGGCCTGCTGAAAGGTGTGTCTTTAAAAATCCATAGGGCCTGAGGGCCTGTGGTCCTTGGGCCAAATTTATTAAACTTTTTAATGAACATTGGTTAAGTGGCATAGCAGTCATATGTCCATTTGCGGTACTGAATAGCTTGGAGTTGCTGTTGTGGGAGCCACAGGTGCTGACGTGGCAAGAATCCTTACTTGCCATCGCCCATAACGCAGAAAGAGTGTGGCAAATTCTGATTGAAGAAACAGAGCTAAGAATTAGCCAATAAGATAAGATTAAGTGTTAGCTATAGACCAATAAGAATAGAGAGTTAAGAGCCAATAGGAATAGTTAGATTAGTAAAGTAAGAGCCAATAGGAATTAGGTTAGAAGCTATCTAGGCTAAGGGTATATAAGGGGTTGTGGGGAGGAAGAGGGCGTGGCCGCCATTACCAGAATAAAGAAGTATCAAGCTGCAATGATCCCAGTGTTGTGTTTTCCTTTATCCCGCTGGCAGGGCTGGAACGAGGCATCTGGTGGCCCATATGGGGACCCAGAGGACAACAAGGTCAAAACTGCAGGTAAGTGACTAGTCAACTAAGTCCCGGAAAGAAAAGGACGAATTTACAAAAGGAGACAGGTCAATAAAGTCCCAGGTAAGTAAGAGGACGGAGTACTAAAGGTATGGGTAATACCGGATGTAAAGGGAGAGTGGAAGAAGCTTTGTGCCGGCTGTTAAAAGCCCGAGGATTAAAACTGAAACAAAAAACTTTAACTCAGAGTGCAAAAGAGCAATAACTCCTTACAAGGAAAAAGGCTTAGAAATTTGGCTGAAATTATGCAGGGATATTGGAGGACCGCTATCCAACTCGGGTAAAAGTAAGAAAAGTAATTTTTGCATTTGTTTCAGTATGTATAGTCACATTATGGGTTAAAGCCAGTGGGTGGAGCGTGGTCAAATTTTAAAACTTGGTAACTGTTTGTGTTGATTGTTTTAAGTTTGTTATTGTTGTTTGTTGTCTTATTAGGTTTAATGTAATAATAGTACTTTGAGCTCATACAATTTGATAATTTCAGTGAAATATGAAAAGTAAGAGAATGAAGCTAACTTAGGAGAAAAATCTTGATTCATAAGATGAAGTAAGCAAAGAATAAGTT